TCTGAGCCCGTCTTGAGCAGATAGTCCAACAGTGTCAGAGCCTTGTATACATGTCGCCAGTTCTTACCGCTGTCATTGAGCCGCCGCCACAACATGCCCATAACCTCGGCAAAGGCCACTGTGTTGAAGGTCAAGTCAGCGATCTCTGACATGAGAGAACTAGGTGGGCCCCAGGGGTCATTGCTGGTGGCCTCACGCACCTTGATCTCGGCCTCAGAGTAGTTGTGAACAATGTTCTTCACCTGGCGTCGGAGCGCAGAGGTTGTCATGGTTGGGGACTTGGAGGTGGGCAGCCCCCGCCCCCGCCGGAGGTAGAGGGCTGAGGGCCACCGTCTTGAGGTCACGGTTTGGAAGGATGGGCCTCCTTGCTTTCAGCAGGGCGGCTGTGTCCTTGGGTTCCACATGGGGCTGCAAAAAAGAGGACCTGGGACTCAGGACCAATGGCTTCCTCATTGTTCATTCACTCACCAAGTATGGCCTGGCCAGAGTGTCCCTGCTGCCAGGAACACCTTTGATCAACACTTTTTATTTTCCTTATTGTACTCACTCTTCAATGGACCCTGTTTGTTTGGCATGCTCATCTATACAACCACCAGACCAAGAGGTTGAAATCCCTGTCTCTACTCACATACAGGAACAGTGGGACTCAGAGGATCAGCCGGGGATTCCTCCGAGATCCCAGAGCTGGTAAGTAGGGGCAGCGCTCCCTCCACCTGAATGTGTGGCCTCAAGGATCATACAGTGACCACCAGGAATGTCACTCTCCCTCCTCACTCATGCTTGCCTCCTCATCCATTTGCACTGTAACCTTCCCAGTTTAGCCCTTCATTCTTTCCTCCCATGTGGCCATTTTTCATCATTTGATTCACTCAGCCCTTTTTCACGAGGGTCTTTCCCAAGCCCTGAGGTATGCTTGTAGAATACCAACATCCCCAAGTGAAAGGATGCAATCCGGCACAGCCGTGTGCGCATGCTCGGGGGAGGGGGGGGACAAGCAAGGAAAATAGTTGGCAGCTTCCTGTGGAAGTGGCACTAAGCTAGAGGCACAAAGAGAAAAGGGGAGGAGACAGGGGAGCCAGCAAAATAAGGGGTCTGTGAGATGCGGGGTACACCTTCTGGCCTCCAGCACATACGCACTAGGGTGCTGTTGACCTGCCTATGCCATAGGGCATGTCGGTGGCAGAACTGAGACAGACAACACCTAAGCCTCCCTGAGACTAAATCAATTCTTATTGCCAGTGTCACCTAGTTCATTCATTAATTAATCAATCTAATTACTTGTCTCAGAACCACCTTTTCAGCCAGAATGCAAGTTCCCTGAGGGCAGGGGCAGTCCAAGCGAACTCCCAAGGCCTTAGGCGCACAGAAGACTCTGGTAGCCCAAAAGATGCAGACTCAGAGACAATCAGCCACATGTCTTTCCACAGCCTCAGGAGGCAGAAATGAGTCCCCCAAGGCCTTGCCAGAAACCCAAAGTAAAGCCTCCTGCCATCATCATGGCACTAATATAGTTTTACACACAAATGCGTGTACACACACACACACAGAAGTTAGGTCAGCAGAACCTCCGCTTTCTCCATGAATGCTCCCCCACCACCACAGAGATCACACCTCCCCAGATCACCCTCCAGCCCCTACCTCAGCTGTCCCAGCCTCCTAGGGGGGGGGGGGTAGAGGTTGTGGTAGAGGAAGTTTGTCCTTCCGGGCACCGCAAGTGAATGATCGGCTCAGTTCAAAGTACCCACAGGCCTTGGCAGGTCCCAGTCTTGGGCCGAAGGATAGGAGTCTGTGGAAATTGGATCCCCTGGCCCACAGTGCTGCCTACCTTATGTCTGTCTGTCCAGCTGGCCTTCTGTGGGAATGCCACAGCCACAACTTGTTTAGTTCCTGCCCTCCCCCTGACTAGTGACTCAGACCTGTGTTCACCTCCCCAGTGGGAGGGCAGGCTGGCAGTGGGAGAGACTAGATGGGGAATAATTGTGCACGAAGCCCGCCCTGGTGTACATGCTCCTCCCTGCTGGCTGCTGGACTTGGCAGAACCAGTCAGGTCAGACACCCTGACTCTAAGAATGCCCTACCTGGGCCTGGCTTCCCAGGCCTTCCTACTTTGCTGGGGTGGGTACAACCATCCGCCACGGAAAGGGACCCTCTATGTAGGCCCCATGAACCTACCTGGTTCTTTTCTCCTAGGACTTTTCTCCTAGGAGCCAGGTGGACATTGCTTTGCACACCTTTGTTAGAGCTGGGGAAAGGAAAGGATCAGAAACAAAAGGAAAATCCTGAACCTCCACCCGGACCACTCCTCTACCCCCATGGAGTTTAACATGGTAGGGACACATTAAGGAGCAAGGAGGACAGGGTGAGGTCCCACCGCATGCATGAAGCTGATGCTGCTGCGAGGGAAGGAAGGCGGGGGGAGAGGCTGGGAGCCCTGCCAGCGGTGTTACAAGCAGAAGGTTTTATCGAACACAATATGCCCAGGAATAAAAGGGAGTGAAACACAAGCCCAGCTGCCGATAAGGCGGTGCGGCAGCGGCAGTCCTGGGCAGCGGGTATGGAATTACTGCAGTGACCTTGAGCCAGACCCTGCCAGGTGGAGGGAAGGACACTGAGAAGTCAGGACCCGGGGAGGCCACTTTAGAGATGGAAAGAACACAGGAGAGTACTAGCAGAGAGGGAGCATAGGCTGGCCTGGGGGTGGGGGCATAGAATGTAGACTCCCTCCTCTCCACAGGTCCCCAAGGAGGAATTGGAGTGGTGGGTGCCAGGGTGGGGGATGGAGAAATTCCTAAAAGTCAGCACCGAGGAAGCAGATGGCATCCCCAGGGTAGAGGTTCAGAGAGATGGAAAGAACCAATCACATGCACGAATTTACCAAAGTATGTAAGCACCCCCACCAGTCAGCACCCCTCCCCATCTTCTGTCCCCATCAAGCTCAGAGCAAGCAATGGGGGAGTGGCAGTGTCCTTCCTGCTGCTAGAGGGATGTGGGACTGGATGGTAGCTAGCCCTAGGCTGTCTGGCTTCCTCAGACCGGAGTTGGCTGTGTCCCTGGGGAGCATTGGAGAGGATTCAGGGGCCATCCTGAGGTTAGAGGTGCAAATACAGAGATATGCCAGGATCTGAGGGGACCACCACCAAGAACCTCCTTTCTGAAGGGTCCTTTTCTGAAGGGACCAGGAAGGTAGAGGGTTGAAGGTAAGAAGCCTCCAGGTCCTCCTCAGCCCTGCCTTGCCTTCTCTCGAGCCTGGGAGAGATACTAAGTCCGGAGCCCACTCTAGCCCCCGCCCGCATTCAGGGCACCACCGCGGCGGGCGCGGGAGGGAGCTTACCTCCAGTGTGGGCTCCCTCGTCCCAGCCCCAACAGGCTCTGCAGTGACCCTCTGACTGGTGGGGGATGGCACAGCCTCAGGAGCAGCTCCAGAGCCATCCACCATAGACCCTGGTCTCGGGAGCCCCACCCTCGACCGAGAGGCACAGAGCCCTCTCAAGGGCAGCAGGGTACCCCAAGCGGGTTTGCAGCTCAACCCCTGGAGGCAGCCTCCTCGACTCCTGCCGGCCAGCACTCTCCGGAGGAAAGTTGTTCAGCTGGCCAGGCAGGTCTGCCTCAGCAGTAACAGGACACAGGATGACGGGCGGGCGTGTTTAACCCCTTCCTGCTGCATGCCGGGCGATGCCTTCAGGGGAGGAGGCCTGTCAGTTTGTCTGCCGGGTGACCTCAGGGGTAAAGACCTGGAGCTGACCCTCTCCCACCCTGCAGTGAGTTAACCTTTCCACTACCTCCTCAGCTAGAAGGGGGAGGGGGTGGGAGTGAAGGCAACTCCAAAACCCCCACCACGCCCTACCCCTCCTAGCCAGGAGGACATTAAAACAGAAGGCAGAACACCCCCTGGGGTTTGTCTTTTCCTGCTCCCAGCTGGCTTCCCCTAGCCACTGCAAGGTGCCTGAGGAATCTGCCTTTCCAACTCTGGAAGGGCCCTGCCGCCGGCTCACACATCCCTACCATTTTCACCTGGAGAGTGCTTAAGGCTCATGAGGTCAGTAAGAATCCCACAGGATCTGGCTACTCCCAAACTACCCACTGCCTTTAATCCTCCATTGCGACCAGGAATCCCCTGGCTCACAAGTTGTTCGCAGTTGTTACAGCGGAAACCCCAGGATGACTTGAGCAGGCATTGCCTTCCTTTCCCAGCTGCTCGTTACCCTTCACCCATTTCACAGTCCCACACTCCTGTGTTCCAGGAAGGCCGTTTTTATTGTCTTGCTTGAGATATTCTCTTCTCCCGGTGTAGACCAGCCTGGCTTCACAATCATTATGTAGCTCAGGTTGATTTTGAATTTACAAGCTTCAGTGTCCCACTGAGATTACAGACATTTTTTACCATAGCAGAAAAATGGCTCAGGGCCAGATGAGTTGACTGGAGGAAAGGATAAAGCACACTAGAACCCTAAATACTAATCCCCTGGCTTAGGACAGGGGTGCTAAAGAGTAGGTGGGGAGAGGAAGGTTGTACTTGTGAGAGTTCCTTGGATTATTGTAGATAGTTGTCATTTTGTTTTTCTTCAGACCTGGGGTGGGTCTGGGCTCAGCCACAATTCCTCCAGGGTTTAAAAATCTTAGCAAGGGCCATCCTGAAAGATGAGGAAAGCTCTGGGGTCAAGGGGATCCCAGAAAGCCAGATCTTATCAGCTCTGCCTCTTCCCCCTTGTCTCTCACTTGGTCACACTAAGTGATGCCACTTGAGTTGGCTCAGGGAAACCTGACCCTGAAAGTGTGGACCTGAGGCAGGAGCTGCTGCAAAGACAAGGCAGTTTGCCCTGTTAGCCACGTGCTGTTCTGCTTGTCATTTGCACATCACCTTACTGCTACATGTGGGTGGCCCCGAGAACCACATGTGGGCAGGTGGGATCAAGACCTAGACCATCCTCACCAGACACAGTTGAGAGCTAGCATTGCCAGAGGCAGAACAGACATGGAAGGAACCTAAAGATGCTTTATTGACTTTCCTAACCATTCTCCCAGGAGATAGCATGGGCCCACGAATCAGTTGCAAAAACGCAAAGGTTCTTCAACACTCTTTAGGGGGCTGAGCTCATCAGCCAGGACCATCATGTCAGTAACCAGGGTATCCAGCAACCCATAGACCTGGAAGAATGGGACAAACATCAGAGGCCAGCCAAGGTTCTCTCTGCAGAAGGCACTTGCTAAGAGAGAAAATATGGAGAGGGGAATGCCAAAGTTATACAGTGTATTGCTGCATGTAATTGCTTTTCAGATCTGGAGTGGGCCTGGGCTCAGTCCCAAATCTGTGTTGGTTTTCCAGAAGCCAACTCTTCTTCCTGTAAGATCATAGATCCACGTACTGAAGCTTCCAAAACCAAGCAAGACTGAGCCCTCTCCTGCAGCTGGACCACACAGCCTAAGAAAACTGACTCTTAGTACCATAAAATCAAAGAAGGGTTTATACCCCGAGAGCCCTATAATTACTTTCTAGATCCCCAACAACCATCAGAAAACTCAATGTCAGAGGTAGCAGCAAACACAACTTCTGGTCAAATGAGATCCTGGGGTGGTCCCACAATGAACAGTAATGTAAGCCCAGGTTCACAATGCCTTATCAGCTAAAGACAAGCATCCCTGTTAGATAAGCCAACATAGTGAGTATGGTTTTATAGCCCTCCACATGCCTGGGAAAACCATAGTAACATAAGACTAAGATGACCTAGGGGCATCTCTGAGGACCTGTTGCTTAAGGCCAGATCATGATGAAGCTTTGGAGCACATGCTCTCTTGCTACCCTTTGAATGTACATTGCCCCCCTCTAGAGCTCGTGTTAAAATTGGCTTCTCATGTGAGTGTTGAGAAATATGGGGACCTTTAAGAGGTCTTTGAGTCATGTGGGCCCCACCCTCACAGAGCAATTAATACCTTCACCACCTTGAGTGGTAAGGAAGAGGACTCTGCTGGCCTGCCTGAGGCCTTGGAGTTTTCTCTGAGTGACCCCAGAAGTCATGCAGAGGAATTCCTTACCACTCTGCTGGCCCATTCCCTTAGCATCAGCTGCTTCCTCTGCCTAATGCACCCTTCCTTGGCCAACCTTCATTTCTCTCTGGCATTTTTTTTTTTTTTTTGTAAAAGCAGGTGCTCCTCCATGGAACAAAGGGAATGAAAGATGCAGGTGTGAGGGCTGGGAGGTACGGCAGTCCCCTCTTCCCTTCACCTCAGCATGCAACCTGTGGGTATATTTCTCCATGACCAGGGGGTCTATGGGCTCCTGTGAAGGGACCGTGCTGTCAGGGGTAGGATCTTCCGAGGACAGCCTGTCCCGGCTTGTAGACTTCACCACTTTCTTGTCATCCTTTGTCTTCTGTTTCTTGCTGTTCAGGCGATCCTGTTTGGAGAAATGGAGCTCCTGAGGGAGGTCTGATGTTCTCTCCAATGGCTCTTCTGGAGCACACCCCCCCAAAGTTCCATGACCCCTCCAGAGCTCTCCCCAGCCCAGGGTGCAGACCATACTGAGACATTCACACATACCTCTTTCCCTGGCGTCTTGGCCCCCTTTTTTTCCTCTTTGTCTCTGATACCTGGTACTTTCTTTTCCTGGGTGGTCCCTTTCCGCTCCTCCTTCCCAATTTTACTGACTGCCACCTTCACTTCTATGACTGAAGGGGACTTCTGACCTAAGAGGGAGGAAGTGGGAGACATACAGAAGGCCCCCTATGGCCTGGCCTATACCACAGGCTTATGCCAAGGCAAGCTGGGAGATGAAGAAAACTGAGAGACCCTAGCAGGCTGAGAGCAGAGAAAGCTGAGGAAGGGAGGGAGGAGTACTTCCTTGAGCCCTCCACGTGACCTTATGGAGCAAGATTGTGTGACAATGGCATGAGACAGTTGGGGCCCCTTTCCACTATATTTAAACTCTGTGATTCAGCATGCTAAACAAGAGAACTCCACCAATGTAGGATCCGAGTCTCAAATTCTGGCAACAGACATAAAGATGGATGAGCTCCCCACCACCACCACCACCACCACCACCACCACCACCACCACCACCACCACCATGGGCTCAGTCAAGTACCTACCTACTAAGGGGATAAACAACCAAGGTCCTACTGCCTTCAGGGCAGAGGACTGAGGAAGACTACACAGAGGTGAGACCACACAATGTCTGACCTTGCTCTTCTGGAACATCCAAATAAACCGTCTCCTTCTCAGGCAGGCCCAAAAGAGCCCTTAGCCACAGCGATTGGCTTACCAGGCTGTCAATCACATCTCGCCACAGCTGCAAACTACAGACAAAGACACATTGGAGAAAAGCCATCATTCCTCATCCATCCTTGAACCTTCAGAGGCTCAGATTTCTCCCTTTAAGGACTCCAGTGAGGGAGAACTACCCTGAAAATGCAGTGCTACCAAGCAGACAACCCTCCCTGACCCTGTGCAAGTGTTCACAGTAGAATCTGCCTTCCCTGTGGCGGCAACCAAGAGACAAGGTCTAGGACTAGTGTTGAGAAGACTGAATGAACTCAGTCTTGTTTCAGAGTCTGAATTCCTGCTTGGAGCCATGGCTAGACTTGGTCAGGCTCCACAGGAAGGGCTGAGCCTTGCACAAGATTCCCGGGAGAAGGCTCCTGAGACTGTGTCCTGGGCCCTGCAAAAACCTATCCACGGAGGTCCAAGCAGGCAATGGCTGGCTGACAACAGAGAAGGGAAGGAGAGGCTCCCTCTCTCCTCAAGTGTCCCCTACCACGCCCCCCCCCCATTCTTCTGCTCATTGAGAAGGAACAAGAGGAAGGAGGAGAAAAAAAACAAGGCAAAGGATCTGTTCTGCTACAACTGCTCCCCAGAGAAGCAACTGGCAGCTGTGGGCTGCTGTGGTAGGTTCCAGAATAGGAGATGTTTGCAGCATTTCTTAGCATCCTGAGCTCAAAGGGGAAATAGCCTTCTGGATTCCAGAACTACCTTTCCCGGTCCCCAGGGCAGGAGTTGCCAAGGAAAGGCGATCTGGGGTGGTACTTACCCTTGGAGGGTACTTACCATGTCTGGTGCAGGAGGTCAGATTGCAATGGCTTCTGCTTCTGGCACAGCTCCACAGCTGCCTTGTTGAGCCGGATAAGGGCATCCTCTCTCTGGATCTCTTCAGGGAAGGTCATCACTGCCTGGTCAGGGTCATGGACACCATGGGCAAAATTTCTGGACTAGAACTCCTAGCGTCCCTGTGTTCTCTAGCAGTGGGCCTTGTTACATGGAACAAGGCCCCAAAGTATAGAGTCTATGGAAGAGCCTTCTGGGGAAGCCTGTGACCTCCCTCAAGAACTGATTCCCATGAACCCTAGGCTCCTTGTTTAAAAAAAAAAAAAAAAAAGTTCTGACTCAAGACCTCAAGACACTGCTTTTTCTGAGTCCTCAGGTTTCATCTATATGCTCTTGGGGCAAGGGAAGTTCCTGGGGCCTCCACTACTAGTTCCAGAAAACTAGCAACACACTCAGGGACATTCTCCACCAACCCCTTCAGAGTCTTAGGGGCACCTTTCTGAAATCCTCCAGGCAAAGGTTCCACCTGGGTGGAGGAAGGCTTTCAGGCTCCCAGGGGCTCCTGGTAGTCTCCCTGTCAGGACTCTCCTCCACCAGAATCTCCTCCATGATGCTCTTCCTTGGAAAACTCTTGGTGCCCATGCCAGTCTTCTGATATAGGAAGGGATCTCGGTGTTCCTTGAGCATATCCATCTCCTGCCTTAGTTGTAGGGGTGAGGCCTCCAAGACCTGGTTCCTGCTGTTCATCAGGCGATCAGAGTCTGCCAGGGCCTTCTGGACCAACAAAAATGGCACCGGAGCAAGCCGAGCTCTGGAGCTGAAGGCATCCTTCTGACCTGCCCTGGCCCCCTCAGTCTTCAGAGGCAGGGTGGAGTACTGGTTCCACAGCTGGTGCAGGCTTTGCACCACTTGATGCTGGTAATGCAACTGCAACCAAGATGAGGGAGGACACGCACAGGCACATGCAGTTGGGCCTTCCAAGAAAGGCGAGGTTTAAATGAAGAATTATATGATGTTCTGGGCTTACTAAGCATCCACCCACTTGTGAACTATTTTGGGTACATTCTAACTTCTCTGGGCCTTCATTCCCCATATTTACATCCCATAAGGATATAAATCGCACTCATTATCTCTTAGGATTGCTGTGAGGAGGTGAATTACTTGTGGAAGGCGACAGCATGTGGAAGGGTTTGCTACTACAGTCACCCAGAGCGCACAGGGCCAACCCATACCCGAGGATTCCTGTAGTGGAACAAGTCCTCCTCGGTGAGATAGGCATCCACAGGGGATGATACGCGGTCTGGAGTTGAGATGCCCCTCAGTACCTCCTGCAGCACACTCTGTGCGATGGTGACAGCCTCATGGGCAGCCAGCTTACTCTGAAAAGAAAGATGGCCCAAGATGGCAGCCTAGGCTCTCCACTGACCATGTACCCTCAAGGAGAGAGCCAGAACATTCTAGAGTAAGGCTGAGTTCTTGCCTGTATATCAGTCCCTCTGGCCTACACAGATACCTCCTATTTCAAGACTGAAAACTATGTCTCACCAAACATCTATGTTCCCCTCAGAAAGGTAAAAGGCATCCAGCAGAGGCCAGTCCAAAAGGACACTTCTGCACAGGATATGGACCCTCCAATACCCCCATTGGAAGAAGGGGTAGAGACAGAGTATACAGTTTGGGCACCACTAAGAATGGTAGTGACCTTTCCTCTGGCCTGGCCACAAAGTGAGTGTCATACAAACCCAGCAGAAGGGCATCTATCTCTCCACACGAAGGTCCTAGAGTCAGCAAATACAGTGACCTCGGCCTTTATCAAAGTTACAATCTGATTGGCACTGGCCAAGCCCCAGCCTGAAGTAGGCAGCTGTGTGTAGGGCATCACATAAAAGTCCAGCTTTCCACAGGAAATCCACAAAGTTTGGTACAAGAAAGCCACACTTAGACTGAACAGAGATCCCAGCTCTCACCTTGTACTCTCCAGGGAGGCTAATGATGGAAAAGGGTACTGAGGCTGGTCATTTAAATCATTGTCTCTGGGTTAGAAGTCTTGTCTGCTCAGTCCCACTCCATGGCGCAGTGGCAGGCAGCAATGGACAAAACACGACCCAACCCTAAAGCCTCCCATACCCACCTGGGACTCATAGCCCTAGTGTGAGAGCTCCTACTTTGGACTCTGTATGTACTTCTGTGAAGTCTGGATCACAGAGTTTCAACTTGTTCCCATCTAACTAGGGGCCACAAAGTAGGGTCATTTTCTGTCCTGCGCTAGCCTAGCTTGCCCTTCCATCTTTTACATCATAAAGGCCTGGGTATTGTTTCCTAAGCAAGAGTAGTTATCTGTCTGTGTGGTGAGAAAAATCACTTCTCAAGAGAGGAAAAATAAAGATCCCTAGAGGTACCCCTGAATGACCTGACCCAAGTGCTATCCCCCATGGCTACGGTTCTAAGTCTCTTACCTCCAGCAACTTCCTCTCATCCATAAAAATGTCCTGGGTCAGTGAGATAGCATGGAGAGTGACCTGAAGGACAGCACCTCCCAGGAGGGTAGGATGGGTCCCAAATTCCCAAGATTCCCTGAAGATGCCAGCATTCAGAGACTTGAAGAAGAAGGTAAAGTGTTTGCTTTCCCCAGGCAGAATCACCCCTGAGAGACAGAGGCAGGGGCTGTGATGGAGGAGCCGGCTGAGCCACCAGTCTGCCCATGGAAAGCACACTGCAGCCCACATCTGGTCACCAGGTCTGTGCTCCCTGAATGGCTACTCCCTCTGTGCATTCTCAGTTTTCTTGTTTTCTCAACAGGTGGGAATAGTAGACCACACACTTCATGAGAGAAATGGGAGGGTCAAGGCAGAAGGAGGGGATGGACTGAGTACTAACTAAACACTGGGGTGTCCCAGTCACTGAGGCATATGGGGGGACCTGGAGAGGAGGGCAGCTTTGGGGTACCTTCCCGGTTGTTAAAGTAAAATCGCTGTGTCCTGTTTCTCTTTAGCTCTTGGAAAAAATCCATCTGGGGCCGCCGTCGCCAGTCATACCAAATGGCCACAGTGCCATTATTGACCACAGTCAGTTCTGAAGATGTTTTCTCCCCTTCGAGGGTCTCAAATGTCAGGCGGACACCAATTCCAATGTTTTTCTGTGGGAGGAGGTGGGTACAAGTACTGTCTTGGCTAGAGATCTTGCCCTAGGGTGACCAAGGCATCCCTGTTTCCTATGACTTCTCTGGAAGTCCAGCATTCATACTGGTCCTCTGGGCTTGGTCTCCCTGAGTGGCATCAACCCCTACTGGTAAGTGCCTCTGAAGTTATCTCCAATACTAAGAAGAGAAGCATTTTACACCCGGTATTCGTTTCTGCTCCTTAGCATCCGAAGACTGTTCTAGAACTGGTATTGGAGAGGTGACTCAGAGGTTAGTTTGCAAGTCCAAAGACTGGAGATCTCATTTCCAGAAGCCAGGTTGAGTGTGACAGTGTGCCTGTTAATTCCAGCACACAGGAAGTGAAGATGGAATCCCAGAGCAAGCTGGACGGTCAGACTCACCCAAACATTAGTTCTAAGTTCAGTGAAAGCCCCTGTCTCAGTACACAGGTGGAAAGCAAGAAAGGAAAACACTATGTCAGCCTCAGTCCTACACACATATGTCCACACATGTGACTTGCACTGCACCCACACATGTACTCACGTATTTGGACATACACACGTGTACACAAGCCCACACACATATCACACACACACAAATATACAAAACTATAATAATAATATTAAACACTATTCTAAAACCTTCATCTAGCCCTATCTATGTAAGAGTTTATTTGTGTGTTTGAAGGCTACATATTATCAGTAGTGCACACCTCTGCCCCAGGGTTTCTCTGTGTAGCCTTGGCTGTCCTAGAACTTGCTCTGTAGACCAGGCTAGCCTCTAACTCACAGAGATCTGCCTGCCTCTGCTTTCTGATTGCTGGGATGTAAGGTGTGCACCATCACCGTCAGCGTTTTTAGCCTTGTGATCTCATTTTTGCTTAAGTTAGTGCTCCTATTACCATTTTTGGGCATGTGGAATGTGCAATCAGATAAAAACACATATCAGAAACTGTGTGGACTCCTTGTGACTGTTGCGGTCACCTTGAGGCCTGGCCCATCAGGAAGGGAGGTCCTTCCTGCAAGTGCATGAAGCTGAAAAGGCAGTTTACCTTGTCATCTTCGTTACTGCCTCTAATCCAGCAAGCTGGCTTCCCACAGAATAGCAGTGAAGGGCCAAGAATAGGCATGGGGACCATGTCGGAGAGGTTGGTCAATGAGTCTCTGTAAGGAAAACTGATTATTTTTCTGGCGGTTGAGCAGTCACACCACTTGGAACTGTGGACATAGTTGTCAGGAACTCTAGAAACTGGGTCAGCCTTGCTGGGTCTCTTCAAGTCTCTCTCCAGGGCCACTCCCTGTGCATAGCTGTGGAAGGCTCAGGGTGTCAGACATTTAAGTAGGACCCAATTGTTGGGAAGGAGAAGACTGCTAGCAGACATGCTGGAATGGGTTAGAGGAAAGGGAGGCATTCAGGCAATGCCTGAACGAAGCCACTCTGATTCTGACTACAGAAAGGGAAGCCTGCCCTCCAACACTGGTGGATGACAGGGCAAGCATGTTCTCCAGCCTCTCTCCCCTGGGCTCAGACTCACAGGAACACCGTATCTTCAGAAGAGCTCTTCAGACTCTTTTCAAGTGGTGAATACTCTTCTACTGTGACAGATGAGAAGGGTTTCCCACGGCCCACCACCTCCAGGCCATCTATGTCCTAAGAGTAAAGATAGGGAATGTGAGCTGACTGGCAGGTTATCACCTGAAGCACCTTGGGATAAGGTATGAAGGCATTAGCAACCTCCTGGCTGAAATCTAGTTCTGCCATGATGCTCTGGAGCTCCTTGCGCCGGTAGATCAGAAACAGACTCCGGTCCCAGGTGTAGCGGTACCAAGCATCTTTCTGTGTTGGTAATCCTAGAGTGGATATGGAGGACCTTCAGCACAGGCTGCCATCATGCCTGCTTCCCACCCTTTGCTCCAGGGTCCCGAAAACACCCATCCCCACAGTGCTCCTGAGAAGGATTGGGAAGCAGATACAGCTTCTATCGCTTTGGATTGTAATAACAGCAGCAACTACCTTCTGGTGAGTATTAGCAAGGAGCCAGAAACCCTTAATGCATATAATATCTCTTTTAACCTATCCCCACCAACGCCTATGGTAGAAAATAAGGACAACGGGAGCCAAATACCTCACAGAAATTCAGAAATCCAGTACAGCTGGGGTGTAAATCTATGCATGCTGTTGGGCTCTAAAGCATGGCTACCCTTGGAAGTATAATACAAACCACAAATGCAAGCCATGTGTGACACTTCAGATTTTCTAGATGCATGTTGAAAAGGTAAATCTCACCAACTCTTAAGTGAGATTCATTTTAACATAGTTTATTCAACTCCACATATGAAGACTACTATTGCAACTAATATAGAAATGACTACTAAAATGATGTTTTGTTTTGTTTTTCGAACGAACTGGCCTGCACTAATAGCTCATTTCTATGCAAACTTGTCGCATTCCAGGGACTCAACAGCTGCGTGGGGCTGGTGAAAGCTGTATGCCAAGGATCCTAACTTCCATGCCTCCCTTACCGCTTCTACAGTTTCACTGAGGTAGGAACTGGATCCCAGGTAGAGTCTGTGGCTTGCTCAAAGCCAAGTGAACCAGAACTGGGCCAGAGTCATGCTGAGCACGCCATACTGCCCTACCTCCTGCATCAGACACAGAGGGTCAGCAGGCCCCGGGACTACTTCTCACCAGTCTCCCTTTGGATGGAGTGGGGCTTCCTGATGTGTGTGATAGGTTCCACCAGGCCACGCTGAGTTTTTGTTTTTGTCATGAGAAGGCCTGTCGTCTCATCTCCCAGGTACTCCAGTGGACTCCAGAACCAATTGGTTGCTTTAAAACCCTGACAAGGAAGGACAGAGTAGTGAGGTCACCTCTGTATCTCACCCAGAAGATGGTGGGGCATCCACTGGGACCCAATGGCACTTTCTTGTTTTCAAGACGCCAGAAAGATGCGGTGAGCTGGTCCCAGCCCAGACACTCACTGATATGTCAAAACACAGCACATATATGTATATATATATATATATATATATATATATATATATATATATACACACACACACACCGTATACACACACACACATGTATACACACACACACATATATATATATGCACACACACACACACAAACTATTAAAGTGAACATCTCTGAAACATGAAATAATACAATAAAGATACCAAGGGCTTAACAATGCTTGGTAATGGACAGGCTATTTTCTCCCTAACCATGTAACTAGAGACAAGTTAGCACCACCCCCCTTCTCCTCCTCTCCCTCTCTCCCTCTCTCCTCCCTCTCTCCCTCTGCCCCTCTCTCCCTCTCTTGGGAACAGTGTCCTCACTTTTCTGTCATGCTGGGTGGGAAGTGCACGGTCAATGAGTTCCCGTTCTTCCTGGATCCTTCTGTAGCTCTCCCCAGCATGCATCAGCAGCTCACTCACTGGCTTCTTCAGATGCTCTAGAGAGGGAGAAGGAAGAACACCTCAGCTTCACCAAAACAGAACACACAGGCTCAGGCACTGAGTCGGGTGGCCCACTCTTGGGCTCACTTCAGGACCCGCTGAGGCCTGAGAACCAGAGGCTATCAATAGCAGCAGTCCAAATGCTAGTCAGTGCCAGTCCAAGCTGTGGAAGGGTAGGGGAGAGGACATGGAAGAGCTTCCGTGCCAGATGGAGGCCTGGCAAGTCCCTGTCAGCTCAGCTCACCACTGAGGAATTCCTGTTGCTTCTTCCACAAGGCAACATGCCGTCTCCAGTTCTTCAGGAAATTGTGCTGGAGAGGTGGGGCCCATGGAGGCCTCTTCCCTTCCTTTGGGGCCTTTGGCTTGGGCTCTTCTTTAGCTGAGATGAGGGTCATCAGACAGGGTTGGACGTGTATCAGCTTAGCTAGCTGGAACATACAAGTAGGGGAGGAAGTCTGACCTGAGCCAGGTCCCAGCTTTTGTCCTGCTCTAAGAACCCCTCCTCTTCAGGACCATAGGGTGGCAAGGGACAGGAAACAAACCAGGGGACCTGGGGAACACTAACAGTCCCCTCTGTCCAGAAGGGTCAGCGTCCTTTAAGCAAACTCTTCACAACTGATGGTTTCCTCTAGAGAAACTGACCAGACCCAGTACCCACCCCCAACAGAAGTGAAGAATCTGAGACACAGGAGTGCTGTGTGACAGGAAGGTAGAACTGGGAACAGTAGGGAATGTTTTCCTCCAGCAATCCAGTCTCCGGAGATGGGAAATGAGGAGCTGGGCCCAGAGTTCTGCTGCCTTGTGGGGTTCAGTCTACCCAGACCCAGAGTTCCACAAGACAAGCTCTGAATTCCTTCTAGTAAATCCCCGCTTCAGCAGAAGGTGGCTTAAATGGGCAGCTGGCTTCTGTGACTTGGCACTACTCCCCCAAAGGGTCACTTACCATCTAGACCCAAAAACTGACCTATATCTTGAACCCTACCCATATACCCCCCTCTCCACACACACAACCCTTTGACCTCTGCAGGGGAGCAAATGGCTCTAGCAACTTCTGTCAGCTACATAGCTCTGGATGAACAAACCTGGGTATTCCCTCGAGCAACTGCGATCCTTTTAAAGTCCTGGAGACTTCCCAAGATCTGGTGAGGCAGGATTTGGTCACCACTTAAGAAGCTGTCGCCAGGACCTGGAGAGGGAAGAAGGATGGAGAGGCAGAAGCTGTGAACAGCTGTTTGATGGAGAATGGGCTTTCTTTCAAGACCCACCCAAGAATGCAAGGCCTAGGGAACCTGTACCAGAATAGTCCAGGGGCTTTGTGGCAGCATCAGGATGAGCAGGATGAGCTACCAAGTGGTAGACCTTTCTGCTGGAATCCTTCGGTTTGAGCTTCCGGATGATAAATTTCTGTGTCACAACAGGCTTTCCTCCTGTTTCTGCAAACCGAGGAATGTGTTGCTAAAAAAGAAACAAAGCTGAAGAAAATGCTACCTGCCAAGAGGAGGAGGAACACACACACACACACACACACACACACACACACACACACACACACACACACACACCACACATCCCAGTTCTTGGTAGGTAGGGTTCCTGAGGACTTCCCCAGCTCCATCCATATGTCCTGTCCTGGAAATGCCTGTGTCACAGACCTGAGATTTAAGAGCAACCTGTAAACAACGATCCTTGGCATGTCCAGACAGATTAAGAGTGACCAACAGGCAAGGGGAAAGGCTGGAGTTCAGCAGCCTTGTGCTCGTTTCTGACCATGCTGCTTGAACTTGCTTGCCCACCTGTGGAATGGGCATGATGGTGCTTGCCCCAAGGTACTTCACGATTTTGTGGCTCTAACTACAATCTCAAAATTTGAAAACCCAACTTCCTGTATGTTCCTTCAAATGCTAAGGTAAAATAATTTGTATTTGATGGATTATTTTTTTCCATGAATTTGGTGACTCCTTGAGATCAGGAAGCTGATGGAGGGATAGATGACCACGAGAGTGGCTGGATGTTCTAAGAGATCCCTGACCTTCAACCTTACCTTCTTCAAGTCTTCTTTCTTGATGGCCAAGGCAAGAATGTCATCTCCTTGTAAGACATTGCTGACAGGTTCAGGCTCTTCCTGAATGGGGGGAGTGGGCTGTTCAGGTGCCTTTGCCCGCTTCTTTTCTGGAGAGAAGAAAAAAAAAAAGATATGTTCCAAGAGCTCTCTGCATATATTCCTACACAAATGAGGCGCAGCTCAGTGGTTGCCTAGCAATCATGTGCAAGTTAGTGAGGCCCTGGGCTCATTCCCTCACACCACAAGTTCAAAGCTGGCCTTGAACTCACAGAGACCCACCTGCTTCTAAGTGCTAGTCTTAAGGGTGGGTACCACTATACTTGGCCCTTTTTAATTTTACTTTTTTGTTGTTTGAGATAGGGTTTCTCTGTGTGGCCTTGGATTCACTCTGTAGACCACGTTGGCCTCAAACTCAGACCTGCCTGCCTCTGCCTCCCGAGTGCTACAATTAAAGGCGTGTGGCACCATTGTCCTGCTAATTTTGATTTTTTGACATAAGGTTTCATGTAGCCCAGGATGGCCTCAAATTCACTATGTAGCCCAAGATAACCTCGAGGACCCTCCTAGCTCTGTCTCTCAAGCATTGAGGTTACAGGTGTATGCCAACACCTGCAGCTGCTTGGCACTAGTCATTTTTTCTCTTTTAGAGGGGTAAGGGTGGGTAGGGGTGTGTCTCATTATCTATGTCATCCTGGCTGTCCTAAAACTTGCTGTATAGACTAGGATGGCCTTGAACTCACAGAAATCCACCTGCTTCTGCCACTGTGTCAGTTTTAACCATCATCATAAGCCTGGCTATCTGGCACTTATTATTCTTGCATAAGACCCAAGTTTCTATGGCTAATAAATACCTGCGTACCAGCTTAAAACCATTTGTGAGCACTTGGGAGGCAGAGGCAGGCGATCTCAGTGAGTTTGAGGCCAGCCTGGTCTAATTTACAAAGTGAGTTCCAGAACAGTCAGGACTCTTATGCAGAGAAACCCTGTCTCAAAAAAAAAATTGTAACACCAATCCCAGTGGATCTGATGCATGTGGTACACGTATATGCATTAAGCAAAACATTCATATATATATATGTACATATATACATATATATATATATATAATTTATTTTCATTTATTTTTTGTCTTGACTTTTGAGACAGGGTTTCTCTGTAGGTTTGGAGACTGTTCTGGAACTCTCTTGGAAGATCAGGGTGGCCTGGAACTCACAGAGATCTGCCTGCCTCTGCCTCCCCAGAAGTAAATCTTTTAAAAAGAAAGAATTCTTTAATCTTAGAACTTCTGCATTACAGGTCAGCCTGGTCTATACAGTGAGACCAGGCCAACCCGAGTTACATGGTGAGGTCCTGGGAAGAAGATTTTAGTTTGGGGGTGAAAACAGCTACAAAAGACAAAATGGCCAGGCTGACTGAGTGACTTAGCAGGGAACACTAGAGGCCCCAACCCAGGGGTGGTTAGGGTGTCTTCAATAAAGAAGCGGTATTCCTACTGAGAAAGAGAAGCTCCACACAGAACAAACATTCCAGAAGAACCAGTGTGAAGAGGCCTAGAGGCCAGAGAGGAGGGAGAACCCTCTGGAACTCAAAGCATGCCCTGTAAAATCACTGGAGTGGAGTGAGCTGGGGGTGGGACGCAGAAAGGCAGAGGAAGGAGCAGCCATGTCACCGGGAGCTCAGTGATCCATACAAGGGACTTCCCCCTACCCTGAGGACAAAGGCAGGCAGGGCTGGGGCAGCCTAGGGGGCTGAGATTGGGAACAAGATTATTTAAGGGTATGCTGCAGCCAGAGATGCCAGATGCCGGTGGGCCATGCAATTGCAGTAAAGTACAGAGATCAGAGTTTATGTCACTGAAGTGATAGCTAGAGGACCTCTGCATTCAGGGAGGTGGCTTAATTCTTCTTTCACCTCTCTCCCCCACCCCCCACTTAGAAGGGTTTGATATAAACATCTATAGGAAACAATCAAAGGAGAACATAAACTCAGCCATCAGGGGGTTTAGAACAACACTTGGATTTTATCTATTGCTTCTCAAAATGCTCTAATCAGTAAAAGACTGTACCACTCCAACATCAAGGCAGGGGCTTTGATTCATACAATCAAACTTTTTTTTTTTTTTTTTTTAAAGAAATGTCCACACTGTAGGTGTTTTTTTGTTTTGTTTTGTTTTGGTTTGGTTTTTTTTTTTTTTTTTTTTTTTTTTTTTTTTTTTATCATTCCAAACATAACTCTCAGTCCATCTCCTCCACAGGGGAAGCAGCTCAGGGTATCTCTGCACAAAGTGCATACACACACACACACACACACACACACACACACACACACACACACACACACAGAGGCAGAATTGAGCAGTCTGACCCCATTTAGCTCTGCTCTTCAACCACACCTGGAGATGCAGCCTTGGGTTTTGATTTAGCTTTGTTTCTTTGAGACAGTGTTTCTCTGTGTAACGCCAGCTGTTCTGGAACTCTCTTTGTAGACCAGGCCATCTTCAAACTCAGAGACCCACCTACCTCTGCCTCCAAGTACTGGAATAGTGCTGCGATTAAAGTCGTGCACGTCACCATGGCCCTGAGCAAAGTTTTTTTTCTGAGACAGGATCTTCCTACTGAAGCCCAGGCTGGCCTGGAATTTGCTATTTTTCTGCCTCAGCCACCTGAGCACAGAGATTACTGGCCCCCATCTAGAAGGGCATGGGTTCTGATTTTTAATTCTCTCCCCTTTTATAGAAACATCAAAGCAGGTGGCAACCCACATGGGAACTGTGGCCAGTTGAAGATCCACTGTTAGAAGAAACATTTCCATATTATTTATGTTTTCCTGGACACGTGTTTCTTCTCCTCATCACCTTGGTCTACATCTTCCCTAGGGACTAAATGGCTCCAGATGCACTTTTCACTGACAGGTATAGAATTACTGGTATATAGATATAAACATGGACCTTCAACACTGCCGAAGATTCCCAGAACCAAAGCTCCCACCACACTCAGGGAGCAACACAGACCCTGATAGGTTGCAACTGAAGCAGCCCTGGAAAGCTCTGATCTGAAGTTTAACAGATGGGGAATGGTTAACTATTCATTCAACTGACAAGTGCATTTCAACTGCATTATCTTAGGGACTATCCATCAAGTACCATCTTTTGTTGTTTTCTTTTCTTTTCAGATAGAATCTCCTTCTAGTCCAGGCTGACTTGGAACTCACTATGTAGCCCAGGCAACTGCCACACTAATGACCATTCTCCTGCCTCAGCTTTCTGAGTGCTGGTTTTACAGGTGTGAGCTACTATGCCTAGTTCACCAAGCACCTTCTATGTGTTGCAAAGGACAGAGAAGATAGTATATGACATTGCAATATGGTCCCTCTTGAAGGAAATATAAACACACAGTGATTTTTTTTTTCAGGGACAGTTTCTTTGTGTAACAGCTCATGCTGTCCTGGAACTTACTCTGTAGACTAGCCTGGCCTGCTATTCACAGAGATCTGCCTCCCGAGTGCTGGGCCACCACTGCCCTGAGCACACAATGATATTAATGTGAATGTCTGAATGAAAATCAAGCTGATAGGTCTCATTGGCCATTCAAAGAACAACTATGCCAGGCACAGACTTGATCCTAAAGAAGGATCAAGGAATAGCTGTAGGGACAGCTATCCAGCCTGGAGGAGCTGGAAGGGGACAAATGCTTTGCAGACAAATGCCACAGAACTCTGTAGGCAGTTCAGGTTTCTACACAGGTTCCCAGTGTTTGCTTGTCTTTACGCTCGAGAATCAGAGACCTCAGAGACACACAGCACAAGACTACAGAGGTAGACCTGCAAATGTTGGTATTTCAGATAAGGCCACAGTGAGAGCAAGACTGAATGTGGCAAGTGTGTGGCATGATGGCATGGAAGGCTTGCTAGGAAGGCAAGGCTGCTAATCAGGATGAGGGGAAACAGTGTGGTGGCTTTGGGGCCTTAGCCACAAACAGAAGAGCAACAGTAACAAAGGTATTCAGTGAATATTCTCTGCCATGCCCGTAACTCTGTGTGTGTGTGTGTGTGTGTGTGTGTGTGTGTGTGTGTGTGTGTGTATACAATCTTTGTAATAGATATTAAATGAAGTCCAGGTCAGAGATCTGAGCCCTGGTACTGGAGAGTGGAGTGATGACAGTGACATTTCAGAACAACCCGTCCAATGACAGTGAGTCAGACAGGCTGGAGGCAGACCAGGCAGGAAGGACCAGTCCTCAGGCTAGGGGCAGCTCTGGGTGTCCTAGAGGACCACACAGGGTAGAGGTGTGTTGCTACTGAACTTGAGGCCCAGTGCTTTGTTCTGGAAACCCAAGCTGAGTGGGGCTTTTGGCAAGCCAGAGAGCTGGCATTTCTCTGTCGTGACAGGGGTCAGACACAAGCCTCTTTGAATGGGACAGTTGGGCAACACCTCTGTTGGAGCTAAGGCAAGAAGACTACTAAGGGGGTGAAGAAGGGGGTAGAAGATGGGATCTGTTTTCTTTTCTACTTCTTACACAAACATCATTCTTCCCCAATGTTGCTGAAAGTCTTTAGGTAACTGACATCAAGGTTGAGCCGGGGGAAACAAGCCAGAACTGTTCCTCCCGGAGCAGAGCTGTCATTGTAGTAGAAGGGGCAGCTAGAGCTACTTGTAGCTTAGCAACAAGGCCAAGGAGAGCCACACAACTCTGTAAGGCAGTTCAGGTACTAAACAGGTTCCCAGTTGTGCTTGCTTGCCTTTATGCTTGAGAATCAGAGACTCAAAGACACACAGCACAAGACTACAAGATCACACTTGTGACCTAGACACATGACACTGGGGAGGCAGGCTACATTCCACTACATTAGAAGCTTCTAAGCAAGTTCAAGGAAAAGGGACTTTGCATGTGAAATACTGTGCACACACACTCTGGTGCACATTCTTAACTCAAAGGCTACTTAACAAATCCAATCCTTCCCTTATTAAAAACAAATACACAGTGAAAAAATCCCTTCTTTGATCTGTTTACAGCAGAAAGTTCAAATCTGATTAAGATCGCTCTGAAAGTAGGTGAGCACGTGGCAGTGGCTAGGAGAGCCCTTGGCTGCCCTTGGGAAAGGGAACCAATTATTTTTTTTCTCTCTCCTTCTCAACTATTAAAAGTATGTCATGAAACAGCACCAGCTTTTTATACTATGAAGAAACATAAAAGAAAGCCAAATTCAAAAAAAAAAAAAAAAAAAAAAAAAAAAAAAAAAAAAAAAAAAAAAAAAAAAAAAGAAAAAAAGAAAAAGAAAGAAAAAACCCTCCAGGACCTCTTTAGTTCTCTGGGCCTCCCAGGGGACTTTGCTGACTCTTGGCCTGCCCCTCTCTTCACAGTGTGCTGCACCAGGCCGAGGAGGCTGGGTCCCCTCAGGGCCTGCAAGGGTGCACAACAAGACTGATTTTGCATGGGAAGCCCTTTCAAGGTCTGGCCCCTGCCCACCTGCACAGTCTTCTGGTTCCTGTGTTAATTGATCCATGAATTCACACTGCTCTCCAAACTCAGAAAGTGAAGCCTTCGTTTTCTACTTGTCTTTCTTTAATAGGCCATACAAGCCATCTCTACTTCAAAAAGCCCTTCCCTCTAAATCTACCAATCAAGGCCTAATTCAAAAGCTCTGAGGGTCCTTCATTTCCATAGGAATCTATATTTGCATTTATAAGTCTTTTGGTATGCCTCTGGGTCTTTGCTTGTGTTTCTGGAGGATTGATACCTCTGTGCCTACCAGTGTCCATACATGACAGACATCAGTAAATACAAACAGGGCAAAGGATTGCTCAGTACCAGAGCATTGCTTAGCATATAAGTGGCCCCTAGATTCCATCCCCAGCAGGACATTCTTTAAAAGGCAGTGGGTTGCAAATGGAAACATTCATGGTACTAGTTCATATTAGACTGGATATCTTTCGTGAGGCTGGAAAGGCCAAGTGGTAGGAAATAAATGGCACTCTGAAACCGATAGAATTAGAGTTTTGTCGATTTTACTCGTGGATTTTTCACCAGCATGACTCTTAAGTGACCCCTGTCTCAATTCCCAAGAACCTCACCTGGTGCTCCCTGGTTCTTGGGCATCTGGACATCTCACCCAATCCAGGAACCCTGTCACCTGCACCACTCTAAGATACAATTTGAGTTGGAGGTCTCATGCCTCCTGTCCAAGCCTGTCCCCCCCCCCACCTCCGCCCTGTCGCTGACCCGTGAAGCTCCAGTCCCTCACTTGCCATATCACCACCACTGAAGTCCAGAGTGCTATGTCTCCCTCCTTCAGCCTCTGTCCTGTTCCCCATGGTCTCAGTGACCCTCCCTGGAATCTGTAGTAGCCTAACCACAGCCCAAGCGTCCCTGTCGGGTTTTCCTGAGCACCCAAGGCCTCCAGCGCCAACCTTTGACGCTCTCTGCGGCCTCCAAGAACCTGCTGGTTGGAATTTTGAGACGGGATTCCTTCTTGAGGGCCTTCATGGTGCTGCCCCAGGTTAACAGCGTGGCCCTGTGCGTCCAGCCCCCAAGATGACTGCGCAGCGAGGCACCCCCTGCGACCCCGCCCGCCAGCGGCCGCCGCAGCGTCCATAGCAACCAACGCCCCGCGCGGGGAGCACGCACCCACCGAGCAACTTGGGCGGGGATTGCTTGTCATTAGACTTCTTCATCAGGATGCGCCCGCGCGCGTGCCGCAAGCGGCTCCTCAGGCTCGCTCGCAGACCCCGAGAATGTCCGGGTCAGACTCTTGACGTCACAGGAGGCGCTAGAGAGCTCCAAGGCGTCATCAGCTGGTCTGGGTAGGACAGGGGCTAGCTGCAGTAGCTAGCTGAGGCTGAGTGGCTGAAATGGGGACAATACTGTCATGTGCCATCCCCTACTCAGACCCCCCCCCCCGCCCTTACCCCCAGGTGCTCCTGCCTTGAACCACGACTTACTGGCCTGCCTTCAGGCTTTCCTGAACGCCCCAGTGCACACCCGGGTGTGCCCTGACCCCTTCTCCTGGTCATAAGGGGCTCCTCTGCCCCAGGCGCCTGTCATCTGTCCTGCCCAGTCAGCAGTCACTGGGACATCACTTCCTAGTCCAGTCTAATGCTTCCTACATTTGGGATCTTTACGTGCAGATATTTCCGTTGGTTCCTCAGTGAAGATATCCTTTCCTGTTATCTCAAATTTCCTTTCCTTTCCTTTCTTTTCTTCCTTCCTTCTTCCCAGAACTTGCTCTATAGACCAGGCTGTCCTTGAACTCACAGAGATCCTCCTGCCTCTTCTTCCCAAGTGCTGGGATTAAAGTCGTTTGCCATCACTGGCCAGCTTTCAGATTTTTAAGTGTATCTGCTTTAATTTTTTTTTTTTTTTTTTTTTTTAACCCAGAGCTCTAATGTATTCTGGAATCCTCTGGTTTGTTTCTGAGGTTGGGCCCCTCTCCAGAGCCAGGGCTTTACTAATAGCTCCTCATGACTGACACATGCTCCAAGGGCAGCCCTCCTGCTGGGATGCAGGCACCAACTCCCCTCTACCCCCACAGGGTCTTCCAGGGACACTTAGGGGGCACTGAAGACACACCAGGCAGATGCTCTGTTACCTGGGCCCTCCAGAGAGCAGGCTGTAGGATGCAGAGTGAAAGGGTTATGGCAGTAAAGTGTGAGACCTATGGTGAGATTTGCTTCCTCTGTGGGAACTGTGGAGCCCGCGAATGAAAGCAGGAGTAATGCAGAAGGAAAGAGCTTCCAGCAGCAAAATTGCAGGGTCACCTTCAGTGACCTTTATGACAACCTACCTAAGGAAGTCTCATGGTTTTTCTTTTTAAAGATATTATTATCATTATTACTATTATTGGTTATTTGAGACAGGCTTTCTCTGTGTAACAGTCCTGGCTGTCCTGGAACTCCCTCTGGAGACCAGGCTGGCCTTGAACTCACAGAGATCTGCCTGCCTCTGCCTCTGGAGTGCTGGGATTAAAGGCATGCACCACCACTGCCCGTCTTAAAGTTATATTTTATTCTTTTGTGATAGGGTCACACTATGTTGCCTACGATGGCCTCAAACTCAATATTTTCTTGCTTCCTTCTTACCAGTGTTATTCCAGACATGTACCATCAATACTGCTTAAGTTTTATTTTTAATTGACAATTGAAAAAACAAATAACATATATAGACTTTAAAAAATATGAATGTTGCATATCTAACAAAGTCTAGGTCAAGGTCCACACAGCATGTTGTCTGGATTAAAAAAAAAAAAAAAAAAAGTCCCTCTGAAGCAGTCAGCTAAGTACCCTCCTTCCAAGCAAACAGCAAGTTCTGTTTTGGGGAAGGCAGGGGTTGAGACAGGGGGTTTCTGTGTAGCCTTGGCTGTCCTGGAACTCATACAAGCTCTTTCTTAAACAGACACAGAACCATTTTCTCCCAAGGTCACTTCAGAAGCTCTGCACTTCTGGGGAAAGTGAGAAATGTCTCCTCTCTCACTCAAGATGAGTGAGAGAAAGACAGACATTCTTGTAACTCCAATCCTCATCCAGCTTCCAGAAGGCCTTTTAAATCTGTGGAGTTACATGGCTTGTGGGTAGCCTGGCTTCAGCAGGATCAAAGGACAGAGAAAGGCAGAGTGTATGGTCAGGCAAGTGGACAGATGGCTGGGCTTTGTCACTAGCTCAGGTGACCTTCCAGCCTTCCGTGGGTCTCCCTCCCACCTCATGAAAGTGCTGGATCAGACCAGAGCTTCTTAACTTTTTGAGAATCAGATCAAAGTTAAACATGCATTTGATTTTCTTTAATGCGACCAAACAGGAGCGGCATAAAATTGGCCATTTCAACCTGCACAGTTTGGTGGTATTTAGTGCAGTCACTGCATTGGGTAACCATCACTACATCCGGTTCTACAATATGTTCACTCTCCAAAGGAAACCTTGTATTCATCAAGCACCCACTCACCATGCATTTCCTCTCTTCCAGACCCTAGCAACCACAGACTACTTTCTGCTTAATGGTTTGCTTATTCTGGATATTGTGTGTAAATGGAATCACGGCTCTCTGTTGTTTTGTTTAGCAGATAGTTCCTTCCCTTTCATGGCTGACAATGTTCCATTGGATACCACACTTTGATTATCCATTCATCTACATATCTTTTTGAGATTAAACAGTTAAGTTTATTAGGTTTATTCTGAACTTACTTTGTGAATTGTCTCTTCTTATTCTTTTTTTTTAAAATTCTGTCATACAATATATCCTAACCGTAGCTTCTACTCTCCCCAGTTCCCCTACCACTTGCCCTCCTCCCCAGATCTACTCCCCCCCTGTCTCCCCAAGAAAAGAGCAGGCTTCCCAGGGACATCAACAAAACATGGCACAACAAGATACAATAGTACCGCGCAAATTCACATCAAGGCTGGATAAAGCAACCCAATAGAAGGAAAAGGGCCCCAAGAGCAGGCAAAAGAGTCAGAGACAGCCCCACTACCACTGGTTGTTGGCTTGGTGCTCTTGTGGGACTCCTAACATATATGCAGAGGACCATTTAGGCTCCAAGATTGCTACTTCAGTCTCCATGAGCCCCCACGTTTAGTTGATTCTGTGGGCATATTCTCTGATGTCCTTGACACCTCTGGCTCCCACAATTCTTCCTCCCCCTCTTCCTCAGGGTTCCCTGAGCTCGAGGGGAGGGACCCGATGAAGACCTCCAACTGGGCTCACCCTCCTCCTAAATTTTGGCTGTGGGTCTTGGTACCTGCTCCCATCAGCTGCTTGTGGATGCCTCTCTGATGATGACTTGGGCTAGACTCTAATCTATGAGTATAGCAGAACATCATTAAAAATCATTTCATTGATTTGTTTTGATTAGTCATTCACCTGCACATTGATTTTTTATTTTTTAATCATGTTTCTTTTCTCCTCCTTCTCCTCCTACTCTTTTTCCCCCTCCTCCTCCTCCTTCTTCTTCTCCTTCTTCTTTTCGAGACAGGGTTTCTCTGTGTAGCTCTGGCTGTCCTGGAACTCACTCTGCCCAGTAAATTTATTTCTTGTGTGTATGTATGTATGTGGACTTATGTGCCATAGCACATGTGTAGAGATCAGAGGGCTACTTGCAGGAGTTAGTTTTCTCCTTCTACTACATAGGACCTAGGGATCAAACTCAGGTCATCAGGTTTTGTGGCAATTACCTTTATCCCTTTGAACTATCTCATAGGCCCTATATTTAATTTTGCACATGACTTCCCATTTAACCACAGGGATTCCCTGAAGCTCATACATGTACTTTTGGGTGGGGGTAGGATAAGGTCAGTGTACCTTGGAGCTAGATCTGGTTGTCTTAAAACAGACTGTAACTAGGCAGTAGTGGCACATGCCTTTAATCCCAGCATTTGGGAAGCAGAGGCAGGCAGATCTCTGAGTTTGAAATGGGCCTGGTCTACAGAGTGAGTTCCACGACAGCCAGGGCTGTTACACAAAGAAATCCTATCTCAAAACAAACAAACAAACAAACAGAAAACCAGATTGTACATGCTGGGAAGAGGGCCAGACATGATCAAGTGTATCATAAGAACTGAAGGAAAGCAGCAGAGCTTTAGAGGACTCAGTTTGAGGTGGGCTATGCAGGTTAGAGTGCAGCAGGCAGGACTGGTGACAGGCACTCCTGGACAGTGACACAGCAGGTACCAAAGCCCAGAAAGAGGAAGAGAGGAAGTACCAGTTACAGGCACAACAGCATCCTTTAGCCAGTGAGGCTCCTTCATTCAGCCTCCTCCCAGGTGGCAACCCTGAGCAATTTCCTCCAGCCCAGGGAGGGGGCCTGGTGACTAGGTTCACAGATGATGTAAGGGCTTGCTTCATGTCCCTGTTTATTTCCATCCAGTCAAGTGCAAAGCATTTTGTCAGCTCCTCTTTCCAGAGGTCAAGCAGCATCCCTAGCTAGAGAGCCACCCAACAGCATCATTAATTTCCCAGGGACAGTCACCTCCCAAAGTCTGAGGTGAGCTGGGGTAGCCTGACCTCAAGCCTTTCCCAGATGCAGATGGCTGGCCCTCTGGCTCCCCGCTGCTGTCTCTACAGACACTTGCTCCACTCCCTGACTGTCCCCATGCCTCCCTACATCTGGCCACCCACACACAGAGCTCACTTGCTCTCCGCAGCTGGCCCCACATCTGGTTGCCACGTTAAAGTTGACATCAGGCCACTGCCTCCTTGCTTTACCCTTGCTTAGCTGACACTCTGTGGGAACCTTACACTAGTCACTAGTCTCAGCCCTGAAGACAGCTGGACACGGTTTCCAGAAAGAACTTACTCCAGACTCAGAGATGACACACTTAACCACTACTCCCAACTCCCCCCCCCCCCTTTTTTTTTTTCTATTCCTGTAGACAAGGTCTTGCTATGTGGCTCCAGGCTGATTCTGAACTTGCCTTGTAGTCCAGGCTGGCCTCAAACCATAGGTACTCTGGCTTAGCTTCCTCAGGACTGGGATTACAGATGAGTGCCACTGTGCCAGGATTCTTGAGCAGGAAGGACCTACAAATCCTTTGGGGGGGGGTGGGCACCTAGAGTGAGAGGCCCTGGAACAAAGCCTGTGATTATATCTCACTTCTGACCCTCCAGGAGCTATCATCTTTAGAGCTGGGGACATTGTCTGCCATAAGATCGCTGTCCCTTTCTATCCCACCCCACAAGTCAGTTCTGATTCCTTATCACATGCATTTCCATAGGTTCCATCTCCTTCCACTGAAGCAGATGCGCCAGGGAACAGGGGCCCTGCTTTCAGATCCACTGTAACCCAGTTCCTGGAACAGGATGGCACACAAAGACCATCATGGTGGGTGGGGTGGGGGAGGGGTGCTCAGAGAGGCATCAGGAGGTTCCATGGCTTCTTCCTCCAGCATCTGTGGGGCTGGGAGAGCTCCCCTCCCACGCAGTAGTAACACCCAAGGCAAAACCATAAACCACACTGGAGTGATTATGAGAGATTCCCACTAAGTCTTTTCTAAGAAGAAGAGTGCTCTAGGCAAACAAGGTTCCAGCCTTAGCTGCTGTGGAGGACATGCCCTAGACGGATGGACACTGAGTTCTGGGGCTCCATGCCAAGGGTATACACACACACACACACACACACACACACACACACACACACACAAACAAAACAAAACAAAACCAAAAAGCCAGATTTTCTGCCCACATCCCACCCTCCTGGTTTCAGACCTGTGCCCGCTGAGGACACAACTAAGCGGTGGGAACAGGCTCACTCTGGAAAGCTGTACCCTCTCTGTGGGAACAGGCTCACTCTGGAAAGCTGTACCCTCTCTGTTGTCGGGTATCTGAGGAGTCACAGAGCATATTATTCTTGAAGTGAACTGGGTGGGAACTGTGGGTGGGGGAACTGAATCAACACTTCTGAAATCCTTCTAGGACAGCACAGTGATGGAGTGCTTGCCCAGCATGCACTAGGCTCTAAATTCTGTCTTCAGTACTGGAAAAAAAAAAAGAGGCATCATTAATTGGGGGCGGGGGAGATGGCGGCTGAAGATAAGATTTGTTTAGGGGAGTGCTTGCCTAGCATGCATGGAGTCCTGGCTTCTGATCACAAAGCTGGGCTGTCTGAGGTCCCAGCATTGTCATTCTCAAGACTAACCTGGACTATGTGAGTCCCAAAAATGAATAAATAAAAAAGTTCTGGAGCCAGTTGAGATGGCAGGGGGTAAGGATAAGTGCCTGAGTTCGTTCCCTGGAATCCACAAGGTGAAAGGAAAAAACTGACCACTGTAGCTCACCCTCTGCTCTCCTGATGCGTAAGCTCACACACACAGTAAATAAGTGAAATTTACAAAAAAAAAAAAAAAAAAAAAAAAAAAAAGTCTATCTTTTAGAAAAAAACTATCTGGGCATGGTGCCACATACTTTTAATCCCAGTACTTGGGAGGTAGAGGTAGGAGAAGTTCTGTGACCTACACAGCGAGACCCTGCTTCAAAATAAATAAGTAAATACTTAAAGAAAACAAAATAGTGCAAGCTCTGAACCTGAGTCTCTTTGTGTCTGTGTGGCCTGGCCCAGTGTGTCCCCTGAGTACTCCTCCCTCTCTTACCGTGTGGGCTCAGAACCTCACTGCTTCCCCAGGATCAATCAAGGAGAAAAACAGAGTGTCCTACGGAAGGATGCTTAACCCTGCACAGATGAAAAGGGTTAGAGTTAAGGCCGGGAACCCTCAGACCCACTAGAACAGTTCTCTTTTAAGCAGCTCGTAGACCTCCCCGAGATATGCCTATCTTAATTGCAGGAATCTGTGAAATGTGTTGCCTTATTTGGCAAGAGGGACTTGTCAGATGGGATTAAGGAGACTGAAATCTGAGGATTATCCCAGATTATTCACTGACCCTTTATTCACAAACTCATTAAAGAAGGAGAGAGAAGAATCAGGGTCAGAGAGGGTGGTGTGGTGATGCCCGCACACTGTGGTACCAAGGCCAGGAAAAGCCACAGACTGAAGTTGAAATAGACCAGAACAGATTCTTCCTAGAACCTGCCCCTAGGAAGAACACAGCTGTTGACAACTTGAATTAACTGCTACTGACCTTTGACCTCTGGTTGTTAGATAAGGCTATTGTGTTGTCCTAAACCACAGTTTGTGTGTGTTTGTTATGGCAGTAGCAAGAACTACCATAGGAAGCCAGGCAAGGTGCTGCCGGCCTGTAATCTTAGCACTTGGGTGGTGGCAGCGGGAGGATCAGGATTTCAAAGTCATTCTTAACGACACAACCAGTTTGAGGCTGACTTGGACCATGTGAGCCCTTGTCTCAAAGTCAATAAGATAAAATAATCTCAGGCCTGGAAAGATGGCTCATGAGCTAAGAGCACTTACTGTTGGTGCAGCATAGCTGCTTCCCAGCATTCTCTGGGCGGCTCACAACAGCCTGCAACTTCACTTCCAGGGGCTCTGATTCCCGACTCTGGCCCCTGCTGGCTCCTGCACTCACAAAGTACACCAAGTCATGCTACATGTGTACACAAAAAATAAAAAGTACATTAAGAAAAATAACAATCTTTAAGAAATAATAATCTTGGGAAGTGCATCTGCTCACGATGCACTCGGTTGCCACTGGAGGTGGTGTTCTTAGCGATGAGGAGCAGGCTACAGGGCTGGAGAGGGAGATCATGATAGCTGCAGAGAAGGGACTGGATCCATACAATATGCTGCCTCCAAAGGCTGCTTCGGGCACCAAGGAAGATCCTAATTTAGTCCTGTCCATCACCAACAAGCGAATAGTGGGCTGCATCTGTGAAGAGGACAACTGCACTGTCATCTGGTTTTGGCTGCACAAAGGCGAGACCCAGCGATGCCCAAGCTGTGGAACCCATTATAAACTGGTGCCCCACCAGCTGGCCCACTGAGCCCCTGCGTTAACTTTTCAGAATGTGATAGAAAGCTTATCTCTAATAAAGACCAGCCATTGTATTGGCTCCTCCCATAGGTGGCTAGTCTTATTTCTGTAAAAAAAAAGAAAAAAAAAAAAAAAAAAAAAAAAAAAGAAAAGAAATAATAATCTTAGGCCTAGAGAGATGGCTGAGCAGTTGAAAGCACTGGCTGTTCTTCCAGAGGATCTAGGTTCAATTCCCAGCACCCATGTGGCAGTTTACAACCATCTTTAACTCCAGTTCCAGGGGATCTGATACTCTCTTCTGGCCTCCAGGGACACTAGGTACACATGGCACATAGACATACATGCAGGCAAAGCACCCATACACATAAAACATATAAACAAAAAAAATTAAAAATAGTTAAACTGCTGATCTGAACAAGGGGGAGCTCATGGACTCCAGTCTGATAGCTGGGAAACCCGCACAGGACCGACCCAGACCCCCTGAACATGGGTGTTAGTTAGGAGGACTGGGCAGTCTGTGGAGCCTCTGTTAGTGGATCAGTATTTATCCCTACTATACGAATGGACTTTGGGAGCCCCTTCTGCATAGAGGGATACTCCCTCAGCGTAGGGGGGAGGGACTAGGCCCTGCTCCAAATGGTATGATAGACTTTGAAGACTCCCCATGGAAGGCCTTACCCTCCCTGGGGAGCAGAAAGGGGATGAGATGGGGGTTGGAGGAGGCAGGAGAGGAAGGGAGTGTGAGGGAACTGGGATTGACATGTAAAACAAGCTTGTTTCAAATTTAAATAAAAAATTATCATAAAAAATTAGTAAAATAATCTCTAAAGACCACAACCTGTTAGGATGATGTTTCTTTGTCCCAGCCCATGAATCTAGAGGAGTTTATACTGAATGACTAACATTTCCCAGGGCTGACCATGGACACAATAGCCTTATAAGCACTTTATCTGTACAAATTCCTTTTTAAAAAAAATGGGTAATTTACAAACATTTTATATGATACAGGATTCATCATTTTAAGTGGATAGTTCAGTGTTTTTTTAGTTTTCTTGAGGTTGTACAATCATCACTACTCTCCAATTCTAGAGCACTTTCATTACCTCCAAAAGAAACCTGACACCCATTAGTCACCACCTAGTCCCCTTCCATCTGCTCTCCCCAAACCACTGGTCTTTTTGTCTCTGTAAATGTGCCTATTCCAGACATTTGAGACGAAATCGTACATACATGACTTTCTATGTCTTTATAATGTGTTCAGGGTCCATTCACAACACAATGCATGTTCTTCACCTTTTTTCAAATTGCACTGTGTGTGTATGTGTGCGCATGCGTGCGTGGTGTGTGTACATTCCACAGCCACATGTGGTGGAGGTCAAAGAACACCTTGCATGCATTCTCTCCTTCTACCATGTGAGTCCCAGGGCTTGAACTCAGGTCATCAGGCTTGGTAGCAAGTGTCTTTCCTGGCTGAGCCATCTCAAAGACCCTATTTTATCTCTTTTTTTATGCTGAATGAGATTCCATTATAATAATATACTTCATTTTATTATTTGTCCACTCATCAGTTGATACCTTATGGCTATTACAGTAATACTTCTGTGAACATTTGTGCACAAGTCTTTATGTGATCGTGTGTTTCATTCTGTAGGGTATACACCCAGCAATAAAATTGCTAGTTTGCATGGTAACTATAAGTTTAACTTCACTCATTCGTTCATTCATTCATTCATTCATTCATTCATTTTGAGACAGGATCTCAAATGTAGCATGGACTAGCCTTGAACATATTATGTAGACAAGAGTGACAAGGAATGAACTTCTGCCCTAGTTATTCTAGAGTTCCCTCTGTAGACCAGGCTGGCCTTGAACTCAGAAAGTCCACCTGCCTCTGCCTCCTGAGTGCTGGGATTAAAGGTATGTGCTACCACCACCTGGCATTTCTCTTGTTTTTGAATGAAATAGATGCAATTCTTTGCCCATTTTTAAATCTGGTTACCTTTATATCCAGTTGTGGGAAATTTTTGTGTGTTTAGCAAATATCTTCCCCCTTCTTGTGGTTTCCTCTTCCTCCTCTACTGCTACTGATCTTTGTCCTGACCTCAGGATCCTACTGCCTCAGTGTCTCATGGGCTGGGATGACAGTACGCAACACCTTGACCATCTTACTGTGTTTGCATTGTGTTTTTGGTTTTGTCTTGTTTTTTGTTTCTGTTTTTTGTTTGTTTGCTTTGTTTTGTTTTTGAGGTAGGGTTTCTCTGTGTAGCTTTAGAGTCTAGCCTGGAACTCACTCTATAGACTAAGCTGGCCTTGAACTCACAGAGATCTGCCTGCCTCTGCCTCTAGAGTGCTGGAATTAAAGGTGTGGGAACACCAATGGCAGGCTTGTTTGAACTCTTTAGAGACAACAGTTACCTGTGGAACCCTGGCTGGCATGATACTCTCTATATAGTCCAGGTTGGCCTCAAAAACTCCTACCTGTCTTGGCTTCCTATCTTTTTTAAAAATGTATTTTATTTTTAATTATGTGTTGGGGGGGTGGATATATACATGTGAGTGCAGGTACCTGTGGAGGCCAGAAGAGAGTGCCAGCTTCCCCTGGAGCTGGAGTTACAGGCAGTTCTGAGTCACCAGATGTGGGTACTGAAAATGAACTCAGGCCCTCTGGAAGAGCAGTTTGCACTCTTAACATGGAAGCCATCTCTCCAGCCCATACTGTCCATTATTATAATTCTGAAAGAGGCCAGAAGAAGGGGATTTCCACTGCAACTTCCTTAATGACCAAAAGCTGAGACAGCCTACCTTTAAGCCCTCTGCAGTGCTGCCAGGCCTCAGGGTGCTGGCTTCTCCCTGGAGTCTTAATTGCAAGAAAGCTCAGCAAAGCACTGAGGCCTGTGTGAGTTGGTCAGGTTCCAGGGCTGTCCTTTCTTGACAGACCTTGGGGACCGCCAGCCCCCAAATAATGACACAGAGACTTATTAATTATGAAAGCTTTACTTTAGCTTAGGCTTGTTCCTGACTAGCTCTTGTAACTTAAATTAACCAGTTTCTATTAATACACATTTTGGCTCATGGCTCTGTACTTTTCCTCTGTTCTCTAACTTCCAACTTGCTTCTGAGTGTTGTTGGCCAACTCAACCCTGAGCCAGATTCTAACCCAGAGTTCTTAGATCTGCCCGGAAGCCCCACCTAACCTCCTTGCCTACATATTGGCTATTTCAGCTCTTTATTAAACGAATCAGAATAAAACAGTGACACATTTTCATACAACATGATCAAATTTCCTGAAACAGAGGGCAGCCCCAGGCTGAGTCAGAATGGCCTGAAGTTTCTAGAAGGGAACCAGAAGAGGCAAAACCCAGAGGTCAGGTAAAGGAAAGGTATGGCCAGAGGCACCTCAGGTATCAGGGCCTGGGAGGCAGGGGCCAGGATTGGTCCCTTTCTGGATTGATCTGCCAGGGGAGAAATGGGACCATTCCTGTCAGACCTGTTGGAAGAAGGGAAGAACCGGGATGTGAGGAGTCAAACAGGCAGGTGCCCTATTGCCTGGAGGCTGCTGGTCACCTGGTGGCACACACCCTCTCAGCTACCCAGGAGACAACAAGTTCACCAATGAGCCAGGAAGAAAAATTTTCCAGGAGCCATGGGTCCCTGGTGACAGGGAGATGACAGATCTGTGTGTCGTCAGAAGCCAGGAATTCCAGCTGTAGACCTGCATTCCCTAAGGTCATGGCTGTGTTCAGTGATCCAGTGTTATTAACATGCTGCCCCCAAATCTTCTACTCTGCCATCTTGACTGGTTTCATTTAAAGGCCATTGAAAAACAGCAGGTGAAGAAGCTCACTTTGACCTTCCTTGTTATTTTTAATTTGGGAGTGTGTGTGTGGGTGTGTGTGAGTCAGGGTTTCTCTCTGTAACAGTTTGGATGTCCTAGAACTCACTTTGTAGACCAGGCTGGTTTTGAACTCACAGAGATCCTCCTGTCTTTGCCTCTCAAATGCTGTGATTAAAGGTGTGCAACCTTCCTTGCCCTTAAAAGTAGCAGGTGAGGGATTAGGGGAGATAGCTCACTGTCTAGCATGCATGAGACCTGAGGCTCATCCTCCACCCTAGGAAGAAAAGAAAAAACAATAGATGAAATCCCTGTGTGAGCCCGGCACAGTGACACCCACCCGCAACCCCAGCACTCTAGAGACTGAGGCAGGAGGATTGATCATCCAAGGCTACACAGTGAGACCTTCCTTTAAAGTATAATCTTATTTGAAAAATGTCCCCTCTGTCCCAGAAGGGCAGGGTTATTCTCACCCTCTAGGACGGGAGTGTGAGGCTCAAGGAAATGTGAACAAACCTCCCCCAACTCACCCTTCCCTTCGTGGTTACTTCCCCACCCAGTTCACCCTTCCAACCCACGCCCTTTATCACATCTTCCTAATTTGCTACTTTTGTCCCATTCAGCTCTGCATCTTTAGGCCTTCAGGTTCTTATGCATTCTCCTGTGCCACATTAAGCTGCTCTTACTCTGTATGCCTTCTCCTAGTACTTTGCCTTATGTCAGTTGAGTTCTCAGACCCAGCCCACAGACGCCAGGACAGTGTCTTTTTCTCCCCTACAGCTGTAAATGGCAATGTAAACGCCGACAGTGATGTCCTCCACACATGAGCCATGCCCATTTACACAAGGAACAGCTCTAGGCTCTTTCCACCCATGCATCTGTCATTGTCACCCTTGCAACAGCTTTGTAGGCAGGCCCTGTCCCTGCTTCTGTCAGTGAGTACATCCAGACTCACAGGATGAGCGGCTTCGCTAAGGGGACCCAGCTGCTAAGCAACTGGACTCCAGTCCAGGAGTGTGGCTGTGGGAGTGTCCAGGATTGCTGAGGAAAGGCAGTGAGTGATCAGGGGTGCTTCTCAGGCTGGATTTCAAGTAGGGGGCTCCAACAAAGAGGAAGAAGCAGGGTTACCAGCTCCTGGAGCCCAGCACTCATGGCTGCCGGCTGCTCTCACTCACTGA